GAATACCAGTTTTGACATTGGGATGGTATTCTTGCCCCCGTTGGTTTGTTATATATTAAATCGTCAATGTAAGAGAAAGAATGCGGTGAATAGTTTGATGCAGCTTTGTAGTTAGGCATGCACCGAACTCGGGAACAAACCGTGATTCCCGGCTTCGGGATTCCCGGGTTCGGTCATTCCCGGTACCAAAATACTCAGCTAACTTATTCATACACTTTCATCTACATTAGACACCGATCGGAGCTGGGAACACCGGGCCCGGGAATAACCGAACCCCTGGAAGTTCGGGTTCGGCCGTTTCCGACTCCGATCGCTGTCTAATGTAGATGAAAGTGTATGAATAAGTTAGCTGAGTATTTTGTTACCGGAAATGGCCGAACCCCGGGAATAACCGAAACCCGGGAATCCCGAACCCCGGCAATGACCGAACCCGAGAATCCCGAAACCCGGGAAGTTCGGGCTCGGTGCATCCCTATTTGTAGTATATGATGGCATGTGTCTTTTTTTCCTCTTTTATCAAGCATTACCGTTCGACAAGGAAAACAGAAATGATGACATACTGACTGCTGTGTGCATGCGGTGTCATGCGAAATGATCGTCTTGTGTTTCACTGCAGGCATTTTAATACTAGAATTCACAGGGATCACAGACTGTGGATAAAGATAAGATGAACTTGTGATCATGATGATATTCATACCTAGTGCCGGACAATATTAGCAATTCCAGTAGTGTACGTACATTCATTTGCGATCTCTCGGCTTTTCTAGCCCATCTGGTGGTCACATCTTACTGTATACTAGCTTTCAAATTGTGCTGTTAATGATCGTTGAAAAAAACATGGCTCTAACTTCGAAATGTTAAATAAATAGATGAGACGAGTGACAGAGCGGTCTTTCACAAAGGGCGTTGGTTTTATTATCGAATATCATAGTCATTTGATGAATTTATAAAATTATGCCGTAATCGAAGTTGTTTAAAAAGCATTTGAATAAATATTTTGAAAAGTTAAGTCAATCTATAAATATGAAAATTAAATGAATAAATTGTAACAGTTTTGAGTTACTTGTGGTTTATTCTTTCATATATTTATGGATGGAATACAATATAAAGGGGGAGAAGAGGATAGGAGAGAAAGATTGAGGCAAGAATGACTGACGAACAATACGTGAACAGACGTATTTATACGTGCATGCAAGAGAGAGAGCGAAAGAATAACAGAAAGAAGAAAGAACATGAGCTGCTGATAGAACGATAATGGTAATGGATGTGAATCCGTCATATAAATCATGAGGGTGTGGGGTGTGAGTGTATGGGAAGAGAATCCCACCCACACCCACACCCTATGAAACTTCCCATTTTACAGCCAAAACATGAGCCACAAACTTTTCCATGAAAAAAAAATATCCGATTGGTGTTATTAGAGAATCTACTCTAACCGAAGTTTCGTTTTACTCTACACGAAACAAAAAAAAAACATGGAGCGCTTCAAAACCTCAGCAAGTAAATCTTACACTATTTCTCTATCTCTTTTCGAATGAAATTTCTCCACAATAAAAAGAGATGACGAGTGTCAAATTGATCGACAACCTGGTCCCGAAAGACCGAAAATTAAGCTTTAGTCTCATAATTTCAATTTTTTGGTCATCGATCGCGGCTCGTCTTACTCCTTTGAAGAAAGGAATCTATTCAAGCTGCAACCACATAGAGATTGTGAAATTACAATAGCCTGTTTACACTAGAATCTTGCAACACGCATTGTAGATATTGCGAAAGTGAGAACATGCAAAATGTGTGATGCAGCGTCCGGGTTTGGTGTGTGTTATGGGTGTTGTTATTGGTATGAATGTCAATAAATATGTCATTATGGTGCTGCATCAGAAGCAAGCAGATAAAACCGACCTTGACGGTGTGGGTGTACGGACAGTTAATGTTTCTAATAAGAACAGATATTTCAGAGATGTGATAAATTTTACTGTTTCCTATGCCCTTTGATAAAAAAAATATGGGTATTTTTATAGTTTTGAGTAGAGAAATATTTTCTGCATCGAATGGTGCAAAAATCATTCCATTGTCTCAAGAAGAAAAAACAATTAGTGATAGTTTGTGCATAATTAAATTTGTTCTTATTAAATGTCTAAACCTATTGTCAACAACTCACCAGGTTGATATTTTTTAAGAAAACGATTGCTTATAGAGAGCTAATTGTGGGATGTGGGTGTGTGCCATTAAGCAGGAGAAGTATGCCCAATTCGAAACCCACACCGTCCCATCTATAGGTGTTCCAGAGAAAGATACCTGATCTCCCGCATAGTGTTAAGATCAAAATATGTGTGATTATGACTATTTAGGATGTGGACGTATCTTCTCCAAACAACCACAGCCATACAACGAAAGCCTGTTGTCGAAATTCGTATGTAGATGATTTGGAAGCAATTATTCTCTATCTTTGAGTAAAATCAGAATTTCAATCATATTCTGAAACCATATTACCAACATTTGACTTTTAATTTGAATGAAGTTACATATTTAGAATTTGAAGATAAAATTGCAATTATTCTATATGAGACACCATAATGGATCATACTAAAATGTATTGTTTCTAATTCGAACTAAGTCATGATCATTATTATACTCATCATGGTCTTTACTTATTAAGAGAGGGTCCACGAGAGCGTCGACCAAGCCTGCACACGTCAAAATTTTGATTTTGAAATAAAACTTACCATTCGAAAGCCCGCAAAAAGTTATGGGGAAATACAAATTGTTAGCTCTTTCTGGAATCCCTATCAGGAGTTATGAATCCATCTTTGAACACACCCTCAGGTAAACTTGATAAAAGGTAAAATATAGAAAATTCTGTGCAACGCTGTGGAGCAAGATATTTTGCTCTTGAGAAGCACTTTTTTTACTTTTAAATAACGTATTTGATTAGATCTATCAGATATACTACCATAGAGCAGGAGTTTCAAATATAAATGGTGATATAACGCGTTACTTTTTACTTGAAATGCATGGAAAATGACCATTTTTTTATGAAAATTTCTGTATTTTTGGCGTATAAGGATATTAAGATAATTGTTCCCCAAAAATATTTTAGCATCAAAAGATAGCCCGTGAAAAACTGCATCTGTTCATAGAGAAACCAATAAAATCGAGTGTGGTATGCTGAATTAATTTTTCACCACAAGTATGGGCAATATAATGGTTTTTTTTCTATTTTCATCATTTTGCTTTGATTTTCGTAGAGTTTTATCCTATTGCCGTGATGGAAGATGTACATATGATTTTAAATTTATTTGTAGTATTAAATATGACTCCATTGCTCTTATAAAAAAATACTTTCTCATATCAATGACTCATTGCGAGACCCCTGATATCTCATGATTTGCAAGATTAACACCTACCATTAGGCATGTCAAAATTACGTATGTGGCAGCTCCATGTCTGGTTATTGAGCTGGGTACAATTTTTTCGCTCATTCAATCTGAGCCGAAGGGGGATACCCGGCCATCTGAAATGTGATCGATAAGATGAGGCACTCTCTCGATTGGACCATTTACTTAACTTAAAATTACTTACACTTATATCACTCAACACGTAGTATTCAGATCTCTCGGATTTCCAGGTTAGATCACTACAAGAGAAGCATACGTGACGGTGTTCGGGGTTTTACAACCTATTCATTACTATGTGTTCCACTGTTTATGGTTCTATATGATGTTGTTTGTATCGACTAAAAGATAAATGTTACGACCATTGATCGATTGAAATAATATCATGATTTCCTTAGAATAGCTCACAACTTCTCCTCAAATCTGACTCATCGACCAATTGGGTGTGGGTGTAGGTGTGGGTGTTAAGTCCGTATTTTTCACGTTGATGTGCAATGGTCTATTTTCTTTTCTTTATCTAAATCAACTCCCTTCTATAACGTATCCTATTCACTTATATATATCATTGCGCATAACTAACTGCGCAATACAAAAAAATAGATTTTTAAGGACATAATATCATCACATCCTTTTAGCTTTTGAAGATGAGAGAAAGAAATAGAGAGATGAAAGAGAAACGAACAAGAGTTATTCGAACACAATAAAAGAACGAAAGTATAGACTAGAAACAAAGAATAAACTAAGGAACGTCTAACAGAACGAAAGAAAATAAACAATAATAAACACAACATGTCTTATGGTATATCATTCATACCATAACACGTCCCCTCTACACAAGATGAACTTCCACGTTCATCTGAAAACAACACAAGCAACAAAACAACAAAAAATTATAAAGTTACAGATCAATGTTCCGGTACTGCCACTACCATTATCATCGATTTAAATCCATAGACAGAAATTTCTGTTAATATAATTCAATGTATAAGCATATTAAATCATAGTCCTATTGAAATATGACGAAATTAACGATAATCAACATGAATATACAATTAATATATATAAATTAAAGATGACGTTGGTAAACAAGCTTTAAATCACTAACATATACACGTTTAGATGTTAACGAATCGTTATTTTGAATTGTATATGATGGATGTTGTTTGTTGACAATCGTATATGGACCAGAAAATCGCTCTTCCAATTTTGCACGATGACCAGGTACTTTGTAAAAAACCAAGTCATTTATTTCATATTGTGGATTTTGGCTATTTTTCTTAAAACGTTGTTTCGATTGTTGTTGATGAAATAATGTTTTTTGACGAGCAATTTGACGATAAATGTTCATACATTTAATTAATTTCATCCAATAGTCATTCGGTCGATTGAAGTTAAATGTCGCTGGTGTATGATTAAGAGGTAATATAGGATGTCTACCAAACATTAATTGAAACGGGCTATAACCAGTTGTACTTTGTTCTCCTGTATTATAAGCATAAATTACAGGAGCTAAATATTCATCCCAATCATTTAATTCTGCATTATATAATTTCGATAATTGAGGATGGAAAGTTGCATTAAATATCTCCACTAGCCCGTTGGATTGTGGATGATATGCACTGGTTTGTATATGATTGGTTCCTAATAACATTGTTAAATTTTGCATTAATTCATTATTAAAATGAACTCCTTGATCAGTAACAACTCGACGAGGGATACCAAATTTAAATATAAATTGTTCGACGAAAGATTTTGCTGTTGATGTTGCTGTATTATTAGGAAGTGGACATGCTACGACGTATTTAGTATAATAATCCGTAATAACAAGAACATACCTATTACCATTAATCGAATATTGTGGTTTTGGACCCCAAAAATCCATAGATATTAATTCTAAAGGACCTTGTGGATATTCAATTGCATGTAAATGACCTGGTGGAGCTGTTCGACGAATATTAAATTTTGCACATTTTTCACAAGATCTAATATAATCTTGAATACTTTTTTCATATTAGACCAATAACATGTTGTTCGGATTTTAAGCCACGTTCTATTAACACCAAAATGTGCAGCTGTTGGATGATCATGGTAACAACTAATCACCTCCTTTTTCATTGTCACTGAAATACATACAACTTTAAATTTTGTATATGCACGTGGTAGTTGTATGACTTTGTGTAACACATCGTTTTCAATAACATAATCTTTATTATCAATTTTTTTCGGTAACCGCTGATGTCTAATACGAAGTATTTCAGGATCATGTTGTTGTTCTTTACTAATTCTTTCTCAACTGAAATTAAATGCCATATGTTTGGATGTTAATTTTTCATCATCATAATCAATTGAATGTGACCGCACGATCCATGACAAAAATTAATCAACACCAATTAACAAATAATGATAATGTTAAATCAAAATCGACAAATAATGATGAAAAATTAACATCCAAACATATGGCA